CCTTAAAACCTGGCTGTTCCGACAGGCCTGGGGCTAAAGAGCTGTTGCCCCCGTCTCGAATGGTATGACTGTTGTGTGTTTTAATATCATCCTGGTTATGTTTTGAATGACAACACATGAAGAATCATATTATTAACTACCCAGAATCACTTTGGAAAAGGAGATGGGCAGCATATAAATTTAATAAATAAATAAATAATGCATTAATATTCTAATCAAGTGAATTTAAAAAAATATTTTGCATGTTCAGTTGGTAGTATGCCAGTAAATACTATATTTAAATAAATATCAGAGATAATAGTAAATCTTTCAGACATTTGATTAGCTCTGCACATCTTGAACGGATTCTTTTAAGTCTAGGAGAAGCAAGATCTGTATTTTAAAGCTATTCAATTAATATTACTGAATTTTTTCTCTTACTGAGTTATCTTAAAAATATAAAATCAAATTTGAAATTAAGGTTTATAGTTCTGGACAGTTTATAGACGACAGTTCTGGTCAGTTAGAGAAGGTAAAATTAAAGTAATATATTCACATGAGGTATATCTAAGTGATCGATTTTATTTGAGAAATTAATTTCTATGGTCTGTATTCTCACTTTTCTAATAGTTAATGAATGATGTCATCACTTTTTATCACTTGATTGAAATTTATAAGACATAGTTCTGGGCAAAAATGCTTTTATTCCCTTTTATCATTTTTAACAATATGATAATTTATTAAATTAAATTTATATGCTCTCCAACTCATAGCAACTCTGAAAATAGGACAATAGTTCTTATTCACTGGTAAATAAGTTCTCTTCCTAAAGACTATTTGAGCATGAATTCCTGAATTTGCTTTTATCTGGACTCTTCTTCTAACGTATACTTACCTATAAAACATGTGACAAACAGAACATTTATTTCAGTCATTGACCAATAAAAGTACATTCAACAAAATTGTCCCTAACAATGTAGCAAAACCTTGCTAGTTTTAGAGAAATAATTTTTTCCTCATTGTTTAAAAGATAGTGCAAATCAAAATTATCACAATGGTGTGCATATCACAAGGGCATTAACGGGATTCATATGGCATTTTCCTGTATTTTCCTTCTAGGATAACTATGTTGAGTTAAAGTGAAGGGTCTCCTAAATTTGGGAACTGTGATATTATGTGATATTATGTTTTAGGCACTAAAATTTGGTAATTTCAATTCTATTAAGAAATCATCCATTTCTAATTGACCTTCTATATTTTTGCTTTTGTAATGATATAGCTTATCTGATTCTGAGCTTAAGGTGGCATCACTGGAAAAACCATAGAGGCCGAGTTTCTTTTGGATCACTATTTCTTAGGAAGATTTGTAGTTCTCTGCCAGTATTAGATGCATCAGTCCATTAAGCTTGTATAAAGCATGTGAACCTCTAAATTCCTATTCCAAATCCTTATATTATAATAGAGTAATAATTTGTTAAAGAATTAAAAAAAATGTCCAGGTTATTTTTAACTTATTTTTTTAAGTTTAAATATGTTTTTGCTTTTGCTGCTTTTATTTCCTTCAGTACGAAAAGACACAGACCATGCTTTCAGAGCTGAAGTTAAAATTTGAAATTACTGAGCAGGAAAAGCAATCAGTCACGGATGAACTTAAACAGTGTAAAGAGAACCTGAAGCTACTTCAAGAAAAAGGAAATAATGTAAGTCAATAAAGATTGTGTATGCCAGATTTTATTTAATTTCCACTGTGACAATGTTTGGATAAGATATATATGAAAGCAGTTGGTTCATATTTTCTGGGCTATAGATGATAAGAGCATTAAGAAAGTAATTTTAAATTGTTTGTTAATTATCCAAAAATTGAATATTTTTTTCAGATCCAGTTGGAAGGCTCCAAACATTGATTTTCTTTCCTAAATCCCACTCCCCCTATTTTCTCTTTTCTGCATATAATCTGCATTACAGCACCCATTTTGCAGATTCAAAGACATGTTTTATGTTGAATAAGGATGGAATTAAATAGATGGCGGTACAAAAATTAAGAAAGAGATAGAGACGGTGATTGGGATGATCTCACTCACTCACCCTCACAATTGTCCTCCAGATTTTTAATTTTGAGGCTTGAAAAACATGCGTTTATATTTCTTCTTTTTTTACGTTAACAGTTTGGCCAATGGTGACATCTCATTTTGTATAAATATTGTAATAGTATTGGCATCTGAACTATCTTGCTAATACTAAAAGCCACAAACCATGAATTTCCCCCCAAAAGTTAGTTTTTTAAAATCATTTTAAAGTAACCGAGTTAGGTATATGAGATTTTAGTTCTACTGATAACAAGATTTCATTATGAAAAATATAGAATTATTTGTTTGTTTTTGAATTTTTGTTTATCGATCAAACTTCTTAACTATTCATCTTCCTCTCAGAAGGGTCTGGGCAGTGTATAATTTAATCAATATAATAAAACATCTATATTCTAGCCTGCTATTGATCCTAGTATATCCTAGGATCAATAAATAGCCTTGATAAGCCTCACTTTTGGTAAAGCAATCAATTTGCTCTTTTGCATCTTGAAAAAATACTGCATATATTTTTCTACAAAAAAGCGTTTTCAAAGTTCTGATTATACAAAGAGACAACGGTGAATAAATAACAGGTAGAAGGTCACAAATGCAAACATGTTTGTATGTTCTTTAAAACTGATAACTGTTTACTAAAATGTTTGTTAACTCCTACTGGGAACAGTTTCAAAAATAGTTTGAAACTTAAACATTTAAAAATTATATGGCCTATAGTATCATATACCAGGTGGGTTTTTTTCAGCAAGAGGAAAAATTGGGATTTTGAAAGCATATGGACAGGTGTGCTGATAGAATGACTGATTACTTCAGCCACATGCTTAAGTAAATGTAGACAACATAAACAACAGTATTGTGGAATTCCACCGTATTACACATGATGTGCATCTTTGAAGAAGTTGCATCTTTTACTGGACTTGTAAGGTAGCTTACAAGTATAGAAAATATAGAAAATGCGTATGTAAGCTAAAATGCAGGTAGAAGTTTGAGAGATAGGTTATGTTCCTTATCAGAAATGCATATGTAAGCTAAAGAAGCTCTTACAAGATGCAGGTAGAGGTTTGAGAGATAGGATATGCTCCTTAACTCAAATATGTATTTTTCTAAGATTGAAGGGCTATCCAGTGAGCTCAGGAAAAGTTGCAGTTATTTTTAAGGAGACCAAACTGATGCTGCATGCATGCATGCACCCGTTCCAAAACATTGCATATACCTAGTCATAAGTGTATTTTATTTCACTCAAGTAAATATTTTTGTGCAAACCACATCTTGTTGCCAAATACTTCCATTAATTTAGTTGCTGGCAGTTTTTTTTCTTAATTGATCTACTGCCTGATACAGGTCTTGCAGTTTTAATTTTATCATTCATAATTTCCATTTACCTGCCTATTGTTCTGAACAGAAATGAATACAATTATATAAATGGAAACTACATTTTTAGAAAACTACAACTAATAGATTAACAAAATCGGATTATTAGGTTTTAAGAATCTCTAAATGTGGGATTAGAATTTGGACTCCCGGTAAATATTAAGCACAAACAGCACAGACAATTGTTTTATACCTTTGATTCTCTTGTGGTTTGGAGAACATTCTGTTTAGGACTATATAATATTCATTGCTGACAAAATAATGCAGTATATACTATAGTATAAGTTATTTTTCACTGCCTGAATGCTATATTTTTCCAATTTTCTCCATTATATTTTTATCTTGGTTGACCTTGAAAAATCTAAGAATTTAACCAGTAAGGTTCTAGTTAGTATTAGGTGCCATTCAGAATGTGGGCTAAATTGAAGACTTAAAAAAAACACCGGAAGAAAGCAATGGCAAACTACTTCTGTATTGATTATAGGAAAAATACATGGATATGTCTCTATAGTCCGCCAACAATTGAACTTGACTTTTTATTTTAGAGAACATAATGAGAAACTACATCAATCAGGCTCATGATAAGAGTTACTGTCTCAGAAGTAAACCTTGGGGTGCAGTTGTTTCACCTCTTGCTGCAACCCCATTATCCTGAATAATTAGTTGCTATTTTAAAATCAGATTTAGATGTTAGCATTTTAGATTCAGATATTACTATACAAAGTGAAATAATATTGCTTGTGAAAATGATGTGAATATGCTTGTTGTTATTTTCCCTGTTGAAAAGTATTGTCCACATGTTTATGTTTAGCCCACAAAAAGTATTATCAAAATTATAATTACACAGTGAGGCATCATTTTGAAGAACTAATATAGTTATACAAAATCAGATATGTTTGTGTGTTCTTTAAAGTGGATATTGTTTTCCACTGGAGATACTTTTTCTTTCATGGAAATGATGTATGTAAAAAAATTATGTAAGTGACCTCCACCAATAATTTGGCTACAGGATTTGTATTTTATTACAGTGATAAATTGGTGAAGAGAAAGATATGTTTGAGGAAGAGTACTGTATGGAGAGAGTTCTGGATCAGTATTTGAAGTTCTGGATTGAATATGGGTGAAACTTTGGTATTTGTTGTACATGTAAAATGTACTGCACACTTATCATCCAGTGAAGCCTTCCAACCCAGCCTCCTCCAAATATGTTGGATTTGCGGGGTAGTGAGATAGAAACTCCATCATTTCTGAAGGGAGATAGTCATCCAGCCAGTTGAAGAAGGCTGCTTGTGGCAAGAAAATAATGTTCCATTTTTCATTATCCATGTTTATTCTGTACAGTGGTGTACTAACTTTGTATGCCAAAGTAGTTGTGTCTTGTTGGATGTCTTTATGTTTCAGTTGAAACAAGAATTGATCTTTGAACTATCCCCCAACTAAATCACCTTTAGCTTATTGATTTTTTTATAGCACAAAATGATCTTAATATCCCTTCCCTTCCCTTTAGCCTTCCATATTTCCACCCGTCCCAGCCGTATTCATCGGCCTTATCCTGGCTTTCCTGTTTTGGTGTTACAGCCCATTGTGGTAGAGAAAGGTACTACAAGCACTATTCAGTCCATGTATGTTCGTCCCTTGTCACCTGTTTGTGCCATTTTTGTAAAAAAAAAAAATGCATGATGAAAAGCGAGTACTTGTTTACCTGACTCAAGTCAATTCTTCATTCAATAAGCCATTATTTATAATACTGGCAAGCCAAGCAAACTAATCATTTAACATCTGTCTGTTTTCCCTGTGCTAATGCTAACATTATCCTATTGTAAACATGTTTTTCTGTTCCTTTTCCGGTACACATTTGTCTTACATAAGATGCTGTAGTTAGGGCCTGGAAGGAAACCTAACTATTTACTTCACTCTTAGCAAATCAGATGTTTGCTTGCTTCAATTTGGTTCTTGTATTCCTTTTTTACCGTCAACTAATTCCAACATTTCTCTCTGAATTTGAATTTTTTACATTTTTCTCACTATTGTGGTGACAAAGATGGAGGGGGAAGGACAAGATGAGGGAAATAGGTGGATGGTTTGCATTTCCAATTCTAAACTTGCAGTGGTTTCTATTACTTTCTAAAATGAATTCTGTAAGACCATAAGCATTTGTATAAAATAATCATAATAGTGAATGTTTTAAGGAGTGGACATGAACAATTATACATGTAATATTAACATTGCAGTATTCCTGACTCATTTTAAATATAGGCATTATTTCAAGGCACTTGAAGACATTTTTGAAGAATTCATAATTTGGCTTGAGATTTATCTAGGTTTTTTGGGACAAAGCATAAATGCTGTTAATGGATTCTCAAAGAACTAATAGGAAATATTTGAAAGCAAGAAAGGGCAGTATGCATGCTTCAAATACCTTACATTAATCCTGGGCAGCATAATTTATAAAAAAGAAATTGCAGTTCACATGGAAGATAGTAATTTACCCAGATGGTTAAATTATAAATTATAAGTGCTTATGCACTTAAGAGAGAGACAATTTGGTGTAGTGGTTAGGTACCAGGCTAGAAATTATGAGTTCTCGTCCTGCCATAGGCATGAAGCCCTTTAAGTGACCTTGGGCCAGTCATTCTCCTAGAAAAAATGCAGTGGCAAAGTTCTTTCTAAAAACCTTGCCAAGGAAAGTGCAGGGACTATTTCAGGAGTCAACATTAACTCAAAAAGCACAAAAACAAAATCATGGACATTTGTGTCCACTGGAATTTCTTTTTAGTGAAATTATATTTATTTAATTAATTGAAATCCAGCCAAATTTCCCCCAAAACCTAAATCTGAAGGAAAACATTCTAGGCTTGCCAAGAAAGTTAAAGAAGTAATATCAAGTAAAACAAATGAGAGATTGATTATTTTCTTTTTTTCTTTTTCTTTTTCTTTCCCTACACAGAGCCAATGGCCTTGGATGCCTGTGATGGCAGCTTTGGTAGCTGTGACAGCCATGGTGCTGTACCCAGGCCTCACCAGAGCTTCTCCATGAGAACTGTTGTTGAATCCCTACCCCACCCTCCATCTAGAAGCTGGCATCATTCACACATTGAGGGAATCAGAGAATCATCCTCTTCCGAACCCTTTTTTTACCTCTTAGTCCTTCAGAGTTTGGCAGCAGCAGGGTCGTTGCTTTTACACTGTACAAAATGTATCTGTTATAAAGAGGGAATAAAATAATTATTTCATTCTATGGTGAGCAATATTATTGCTTACACATATATGTAATTCTTAAGATTATATGTCGGAGTCCTAAATACTGTTATGGTGGCCTCAAGTAGGCTTCTTGGTACCAAATTATTTATGATGGTTAGGTGTGTGGGTATTTTACATTAAAAAATTGATTGCCCAATTGAAAGCAATGCATTTTCCCTTATTTGGATACCCATGCCAAATATCCTTTAAATACTTGGAAGTCAATGCAGTGTGCTCAGTGCCTTTCAGTTTGATGTTATTTGTACATTAACATATCATTATTTTTACTTGCTGTGAGTCACTGAGCTATTGGGAACAATTTTCTTTTTTTCCATATCTTCTGATAAAAACAAATATTTTTGTTCAGTAAAGGCCCTATTTTATTCATGACTTGGAGCTTGTATAATTCATTGTCAGCCTTAAAGAGCTCTAGAAAAAATGAGTGAAAAGCCCAAGTCTAGACTGTTTTTGTGTGCATGTGTGTGCCTGAGTGAATTAAGGTTTTTCTGGGAGCAAAATCTTGATTTTCTGATGAACATAGTGCAGTAATCCAATTTTTAGTTTGAATGTAATTTATTAAATTTTATGTATATAGACATTATAAAAACCCAATGTATTTTCTCACCTACCACATTAGAAAAAAAAAAATCAGTCACATTTGCAGAACCAAACTTGGGAAAATAGTATTTGTTTCTTTAATTGTACCTGTGTTGGCATAACTTCATGATATGAGGTTCTTGAGTGCTTTTAATGTTAGGGAAAGGGGAAGAAAATTAAATTGGTCCAGCTTTCAAGGAAGAGTGGAATATCTTAATGTGGTGTCCATGATTAGAAGCTTCACATCACAATTTGTTTGACCTTAATCTGAATTTTTCTAGTTGAGTATTGGCTTATGAATAGGAACAATCATAACTTACACCCGACTGTGCTGGTTTTCAGTACATATCAGCTCAGTTTATTAAGATCTGTAATAATATAAAAAGAATTGAAAGATGAAATGATTCAGCTGATAGAAAATTCATAGGAAGATTTTTCTCAACTAAAATTGAGTTGGTTTCAAGGATTTAATGGCAATCAAAATCTAGTTCAATATTTAAATAGAATTTTTAGATTACTTGCCTTTGAGGGTCATTTTTATTTTAAAGGTTCTGTCTTAAGCTATTTGGAATTTGTTAATGGGAGGATCATTTAGATTTAAGGGAATGTTAGTTCACAAATGTAGAAAATGTCATTTTTGTTCATTTCATCGTTTTCAGTTGCAGGAAACTGTAACTCACCCACAACACACACATGCCAGTGGTACACAGTACCTCTTGTATATAGGTTATTGCAAATATTATTCTGAAAATGCTTAACTTCAGAATTACATTTTTAAAAGTAAATAATTGTTTTAAATCTATTTTGTAAAGATATAAAAAAACAATAGAATTTCTGGAGTACAGATTGAACTATTTGCACTAACACATGTGATGTGCATGATTTAATAAAATAACTTTACTCTCCCTATGAATCTCATTTGAATCTTCTTTGACAACCACATATTTTATTTTGGACATCAGAGTTTGATAATCAAAACTTATCATGGTGTTTTTATTACATGCTTATAATGAAAAGATGTGTTTATTTGCCATATTGTTTATTAGCTAATTATGAGATTTAATATAGGTGAGTCTTCATTTATTATTATTATTATTATTATTATTATTATTATTATTATTATTATTATGTTTGCCTTTCATTTCGCAGTTTGAAGTGACTCTGAGCGGGGAAAATGAAATCTGATTTCATTTTTACTAGACTCTCAATAGTTAATAATAAAATACAAGTAACATAAACAAGTGTATAAATCATCCATTGAAATACTTAACAAAATCCATAAAATAATAAAAAAGAATCATAAACCCTCAATGATATCATCAAAACCTCCATAGATGCTTCAAAACAATTTAGTTTCAAAAGATCAGCAATGTGAAGGCAAGTGTGATTTCTAGAGGAAGGCTATTTCTTAACATAGGTGCACTTCAAAAAGAAGTCTCTGTGAATTTCATCCCCTCTCAGTTCCCAGAAGTGGAGGACCCCAACAGTTTCTCTCAAGATTTAGTTAAAATCAAGATGTAGGTTAGTTAAAACAGACATTTTGAACTGCACCTAGAAGCAACAGGTAGCCAGTATGGGATCTGATGCAACAGGTAATGTGTTTGTGGTGAGAAGCATTAACCAATACCTGAATTACTACATACTGAACCAACTGAAACTTTGAAGACATCTTTAAATATCCTATTTATGGCATTCTATTAACTTGAGCAAAGCTCATAGCCAATGGCATGGTGAAGATTGTAAATCTGAGTGACTTTATCAACAAAGTGCTGTCCAAACTGTCACAAGTAGGAGAGCTGCCTGGTTGCCCTCTAGTAAGGCAGGAATTACATTAAAGAGCTTCTGGCCAATTGGACCCCTTGATCCAATTCAAGAGAAGTAATGACACTTAGCTTTCTTTATCAATGTGATGCAGGTTTTAAACTAAGCTCAAAGCCATGTTGAAGCAAATCCTCTTCCTCTGCTGGCATTTCAGGGATTGTTTCCACTTCATTTCGCAGAGCTCTGTAAACCAGTTTGGCTCAATGGAAAACCCCACTCTGGAGAAATTATGTCAAGCCCCTATTGTCAATGGGCCACTAAGAAATCAAATAACTGCTTCCAAAGTTGTTTGAGGATCTCCCCAAGCCGCTGCCAGAAAATATCAAATCCATTACCTTTATTGGCTGGTGAAGAGTGAATAGAATGGAATGTAGTAAGACTTTACTCACACAAAACAAACCCTTGCATTAACTAACATCATTTTCTCAGTAATATATGTTAAGTCCAGATATTAAGAAAGATGCCAGATGTCTTAATATTTTGATTTATGTTGGAGGTTTTTTAAGAAGAAAAGGGTGATATATATGCCATTTTACTACAAAACAGGGCAGCCCTGCATCAAGTCTCTTGCCCTCCTGTGGTTCATTACCTAAAATGGGTCACCGTGTCTTTTTATTGTGGGCTGCCATGGAACTGCTGATAATTAAAATTTCCTTCTGCATAGGATGTTGCAGCCAGGGGATTTAATGAAGTGAGTTAATTTGACAGCGAATATATTTTCATGAAGGTATGAGATTGATTGAATAATTAGATGAGTTTCAACCACCTTTGAGACCCTCTCTACTGCTCACCTCCAATTCCCAATTTCATAGACACATAGAAAACTGACAGCAGAAAAAGATTGAGTGGTCTACTGAGTCTGCCCTTTTAAGTTTTTTTCTTTTTAATTAATTTGTTTTTAAATTATTTTTATTATTTTATTATTCATTTTTGTTGAGTTCCTTTAATTCCTCTCTGATTTGCGGTGGCCTTGCTTAGAAAATTTAGTATTACAATATAAACTGACTTGCCTCCTTGTGATACAACTGCTTCATCTAGAAAACGTGGCAGAGTAAGTGAAAATGATATAAAAAGATTGAGCTGTGTAAGTAGTAAATTAGGGTTATTAGGGTAATTTCCCTCTCTTTTTTACTAATTTGGATTTGTATACAGCGAAATATCAGTACAAAGTATAAAGAACTTTAGATGTAGGTGTCACATTTCTCATTGCTTAGAATAAGTATGCTTCAATATACACTAAATGTGAAGTATTCAAATAAAATCAAATACACTATCACACTTAAAATCCTTTTTAAGCATGTACAAAGTAAAAGTGGTTCTTTAAATATTTGTATATAATAATAATAATAATCCATTATATAATACCTCACTTCTTAATCATTAGTTATAATTTAGAAGTATAGTAATAATTTTTGTACATAACAGTAAAATAATGAATAGGAGACACGTGATTAAAAACTGAATCAGGGATTATGAGTGAAAATATTCAGGATCATAGAGTGAAAAGGCTACAAATTCCTATTCTATACTCAAGTTTAAAGAAATGTGAACCATATATTGACTATTTATCAATGTAAATACAGTTCCTTGTATACTGTATATGCAAAGAACATACTTCTCCAGCAGTAGTCACTACACACCATGGTTTATCGCATATAGGTTTTGAGGGACATGTGTAACTTTTAAAACGTTCTAGAGCAGTAGTGGGACCAAAGCCCCACAGGGGGGCAATTTGATTTTTAATGGGGGTAATTTGAACCTTGTTTAAACCAAGTTAATGGCCTTTTAGGCTTCCTCCATGTGAGTAGAGTTCATTTTTTGAGTAAAGTAAGAATTATATGTCACGGGGGAGGGGGCAGCAGGATTTTAAAGATGCTTAGGTAGGGCATGGCCAAAAAAAGGTTGGGAACCACTGTTCTAGAGGTTGGTAGATTTTGGCAGACACATTATTGATGTTCCTAAGCCATAGTATTATTTACCTTAGTTGATACTGATCTCTGAGAATGTTTTGTCTGTCAAGATTAAATCTTTCAATTTTTTTTTATTTTTTCATTCTTCAGTTACTTGTTAATTTAAGACTTGAAAATATGTTAAATATAGGTTAAATATAGCAATAATTTCTCCATTTTGGGCAAGTATTCATTGTATCTTATGGGTTAAGGAAAATAATACTTAATGGACTTTTGTTCTCCCTGACAAAGTTTTAAAAATACTGTAAGCCTGCTGCAACTCTTCCTTTTAGCTTCTCTCCACTTCAAGTATGGTATCAGTTTTCAAGCCAGGTTTAAGAAGCTCTGTCTAGATTAACCTTGACTTAAGTGACATAATTAACAAGAACACCACCTTATCTACAGTGGCCATGTCATGTTGAAAACAATCTTACAAGGAATGTGGGCAATGGTATTTCAACCAGCTTTTATTGGTCTCTACTATGCAGATGCTAGGGCTAATTTGGATGAACAGTACTTTCTTCTTTGCTACAGTAACCTCCCTACATTATTTTCTTTAAGTATAGGTTGCAAACCACCATGCATATTTACATTGACCATAATGAAAAAAAGGTTGCTTATGCATAGCGTAATTAGTTCTCTGAATAGTTATCTATGAATGTGCACAAATGGTCTCTATACCCGCTCAAATATTCCCAAAGCCTTTAATTGGTACTCAAATGTCTTCATGGAAATAAGATATACCCTCCTTTTTACTGGTCTCTGAGCAGAACATCTGTTCAATTATACCAAGCCTTGACTATAATTCATCACACAGTGAGCTAAATATAAATAAGTTATTCATGCAGGCAAATAACTTTGATGGATATGGAAATATCTTGTTCTTAAAACTCAGATACAAAAGAATTAAACTAAATTTTATCTGATATTACTTTGAATATGTCACACTTTAATTTTATGTTATGGAAAATAGTTTGAACTATAGGACTTGTTTATTATTTGCTGTACTTATTCTCTTTCCTTTTTGTGGGTGAGGAATAGCTGCAGATAAACCTGTAGATGTCACTGTAGGTATTCCTTTCTTTGGATTTTATCAGACCCAGAATATAGTTCCAATAGGCGGGTAGAGAGACAGACTTGTATTTTTATTGAATTGGGACACTTTTGCAAAAAGAATGTAAACTTTAATACAAACATCTACCTTGTCTGCTAAGCTGCGGGAAAGGGAGAAAGCGGGGGGGGGGGAGATTTCCTCCAAGGAATTCCTGCAACAGAAAAGAGACTGACAGCATTCATAAGAGGGTCTTCTCAAGAATGTGGGGGCATGCAGAGGGGATGGTAGTAGGAGGAGCTTAGGAAACCTTGCTTGAGAAAAACTAGGGTTATGCCTCATGCCTCTGTGAAAACTCCACTAAAGTGATATAGACGAGAAAAGCAGTCTATTATGCCCACTGATGAAAAGTGAATTGAAGCCAAAGGCACTTCACTGCTTGAGTATAAACCACTTAATTTATAGTTAGATGACTGACTGCATCGTAGAATGCAGCTAAAACCAAACCAGCTTCCTTATGGCTTAACATAAAGTGTTACCATAATCATAACTCAAATGCTCTCAGCTGTAAATATAATCTGGAAATTCCTATGGGTCTCAAGATTTTCCTATCACTGACTCAATCTGCGATCAGAAATCCCTCCTCAGCTCCAAGTGGGGAAAAAGACACTGGAGACATGGAGGCTGCTTGGAAAGATGGTTTATTGGCGGACAGGACCACATGGCTTGAGCCCTGAACAGAAAAGGTGATCACATGCTTCAACATTGGTGGAGAAGAAGAGAAGGGCCCAGGGAGGGGCTTGCTAGGCTTTTTATAACCTGTTCCCACCTCTCTGTTTCCTGT